ATATTGCAGAAATGCATTTTAACTTAAAGCTGGGAGAAAAAGAGTTGGATTACCAGTCTAGGTACTGACCAGGCTTGATGTTGTTTAACTTCAGTGATTGTATGGGAACCAATGTTTCAATGTGATATGGCCATAAGCCCTGAATTCTTGGGATTACAGAAACTGACATGTTTATTGCCCTATTTATTTAAATTTTACTTGTATTTGTTGTTTCAACATTTACAATACTGTACATTCAATACATTATTCCACATGATATAGGAGATAAGAAAAATTGAATACAAAAAAAAAAAAAAGGCTGCACTAAATATAGTTTTGTCCAACAACACAAGATGCTACAAGACCAAAAGAAGAATTCCAAGTTATGTTCTTACATAGCCTTGTTAGTTCTAGACACTCATAATCAGCACCCACTTGCATCCAATTCATCCTCTCTCCCTATTCGCTTTCTCCACCTTGGTGGCAGAGATGGCTGCAAAAGTCCAATTTACTCCTAAAGAGTCATGAGTAGGAAGAGGAGTATGGGTGGTGAACACAGCTGGGAGAGTCAGGCCCTGCCGACAACACGTTGCAGATCCTCTTCATGTTGACAATTGAACCCAAAAGTCTGTCACCGCCTTGATGGTCCTGTGCCATGCAGCGACGGTTTCACAGGTCTCAGGGTCAATGTTGGCCTGTTTCAGGGATGTTTTCATCTGATCCTTGAAGCATTGTTCTGGGCCTCCATATAATCTCATGCTGCTGGTGAGCTCTCCAAATAGGATGATACATGGGATGCATTCTGGACACAAGATCCACCCAGCGGAGGCGATGTTGAAAGACAGTAGCTTCGATGCTGGGAAGAGACGTCTAAGAGAAGACCAGATTGGTGATGCAGCCCTCCCTGCTGACGTGAAGGATTCTTCTGAGCTTTTGCTTACTCTCATATCAATGTCATGTATAGCATCCAACTCATTCAAGAATGCCTAAACTATCAGCTATATACAATTCTTCTTTCAGATCACTTATTAAAAATGGATTCAAACAAATGAACCCTGTAGGTTTTTTAAGAGAGTGGTCTTTTCTGTCTTGGAGACTTTTAAGAGTGTGACAATGTAATCATCTTAGGAAAGCAATTTTATTAAGATATGAGGTGAAAGGGTTAAAAGCATGTATCCTGTAAGAGTGAAGAAAGAGAGGGTGTTAAACTGAATATAATTAATCTTGGAAAGGAGTGAAGATTTAAATTAGCTTGGAAAATAATAAATTTAAAAATTCCTAATTGAAGGGGTCAGAAAGGGTAATACCAAAATTCATGTGAGCACGTCATGTCACACAGAGCTAGACTGAAATTCCAATGGAGCAATTTTAGCTTATTTTCACTGGCCTAAATCATACTATTCTCCAACCTGCTCATATTCATACAAAATTTTGGGGAGAGACAAAGGCATTTATCTATCCCTAGACATTTTTCATTACCTCTGATCAAGCAGGATGTATGAGCAGTATTTTCCTTAATGTGAGTTGCTGGAATGTGCAAAGAGTTCAGTTAAGTTTGAACCCAAGCCGTTTCAATTAGCTTGTCAAGAACACCTGAAAAATAATTTTGCTTCCACAAATTTCCTAGCAGCAGACAATGCAGTTGAAGAAAAGTAAGAGCCAATACTCTTTTTCTTTACCTTCCCATACCTACCACCCGTTGAAATAACATAAATCCACTGGACAACTTTCATTGTTCTTTTTAATCTTTATTATTGAAAATAATTCTGTTCATTGAGTTGTATATTCTTACAAAGACATTATTCACCCAGTATCCAGGCAAAAAAGGCCATGTCTAGGCAAGAACTAAAGAAAATAAATAATTTTTTCTTTCTTGCTGGGAATCACAACACAATCCACTAAACAATATAACCAGCTGTGAATAGCACCTTAACCCAAGGGGACACACCCAGCAAAGTTAAGTCACAGGTGTATAACAGCAATAGCTAAAATTGATATTACGTTAACTTGAAGAGATGTTGACTTTCCACACAACCTTATTCCTTCAGCAATCAACCCATCCCCATGTATGCCTTGCTGTAATATACAATATCGTCACAAATAATGCATGAAGCCACACAAACAGTGTAAGTTTGAGAGCCGATATCTACAGAGCAGGTTTGAGAATGTTTTAACCCTTTAACAAAGTTTAAGGAAGAAATCCCCATTAATATGAAAAAAGAGGAATAACAGTGAACAGAATGAAAGATTTTTATAAATTTTAACTGTGGTAATGCTGTTCAATGAATGAATGTCAAATGTTTCCTTACAAGGAAACAGCTAATCTCACCATTACATTTTAATCCCTTATTTTGTTTTTAATTTCATTTTCAGTTTATACTTACATAGCTTCAGCAAAAACCACATACTTGATATTTTTCCTGAAATTTCACAGCACAAATTAGGTGTCTCCACAGCCAAAGCATCAATAGTCCCCACCCTCTGATCTCAATAATCACCAATACCAACTTTCAGTTTTCATCATAAGTCTACCATAGCTTCTAATTTTCTTGAAATTCATTTGTTGCACTCTTCGTGAAAGGGAATTTTGAACAGTTGCCATTGTTTCAATAATTATGAGTTATTGATTCCAGTTTCTGATCTATTAGTTCTGTTTATTTTTTATACCAGTAATTTCTATATTTTTGAAAAAAAAAAAAAAAAAAAAAATCTCTACACAATGTTTTAGATTGCTAATTTGCATGTTAATTTCATCTTAAAATTTAGTATCTATATTTTATGCTAACCATGTAATAACTCTTCCCTTCAGATAATGTTAGTTATAGATCATTATTTTAGGCTAGAGTTTAAATAAGGGTTCAGTTCAAAATTCCATGTAGGTTACCCAGATCAACAAATACATAATGAAGGCCAGAGGGCACAATGGCTGAAATGTGATAACCAACAACAAAGATAAATGATAAATCTTCACCACAGAAATTTAACAATTTACATAAAAAAAAAAAAAAAAAAAAAAAAAATTGACAGTCAAACTAGTAGATCAGGTAAAATCAGTTTGTACCATGTCTGAATGATATTCATTTACAACCAGATTAGCCACTCAGCTCCTTTAAATGAATTTAGCAATTTTTTTTTTTATGTTGGGTACACAACCTCATTTATAAACCTATTGACCGTTTTTCCTAATACACAATTATATATGAAGAAATGAAATAAGTTGTGAGAGTGTATTGGAAATTTATCACCCTGAATTTATTTTAGAATTCGTTCCGTGTTGGGTCAAAAATTCTTCTTCACCTTATCTCTACAGTGTCAATCTCCAACAATTAAACTTGCATATCACACAAATGTTATCCTAAGGTCACATAAAGTTACTATGCTTGCATAAATAGCATGAATCTTATCAGATAAGAAACCACTGAAATTTTGAATTTTGCTATTACCAACTTTTATAGGCTTCTTTTTAAAATGAGCTGCAGTATCTGAACCTTCTAATTGTACATTTTAATTTTGAGACGGTGATGAAAGTAATTATAACTGAATTAATGTCATTTTGTGTCTTAAACTGAAATGTAATCCATAGATAAATGCATAACAGTATTTACATAAATTGTGCTTGTAAATTTATTTTACATTAGGTTAGCTCTCCCATTCTGATGGATTTATTTTCATTTTTCAAGGAAAAAGTGATAAAATTATTGAATATTAAAATACTATCACAACTATACTATTTAAACTATTCAATATCGGCGAACATGTAATTTTATAGAAATTATTTGAGATTAGTACATAGATAATATATAAAATTATTGTAGCAGCTCAATCAAGTTACGAATATATTTACATATTCTGTCAACAATGAAAGGCATTACTGAAAGAAACTGGTAAAAGATAATTTTGAACATGTAAAAATTTCCTTAAACTTGAAAATGTTAGCCTCAAAAAGAGAATCCAGCTCTAAATATATTAATGTTGAAAAGCCCTTCAAATCAGCAACTCTACCTAAAATATACTGATGTTTAACAGGAAAAAAAAAAAAAACCCTTTCAGCTCTGAATTTAGAGGTAATAAAAAAAACAACAGTTGAAAGATTTATGAATTTCATTTGTCTATACAAACATTCACAATGCCCCCACTCGTATATATATATTAAAATAAATTTAAAATAAAAATAATTCGATATAATATACATAATATAATTACTTATGTATATTATATGTAAATATTTTATTAAAAAGGAAAAAAAAAAAAAAAAAAAAAATCAGTCATTGTCCCCAACTACTATAGCAGGCTTCTGCAACATTTTCCTTCTGAAATATCGTTGTTGTGCTTCAATAAAAACGTCGCCAACTGTGCGTTTGGCATATTTTGCAAGTGGATCCTTACATTGAGCCTTTTCAGATTTTTCAGTAGCTGCATTAAAAGGAGCATGTTGCTGACTGTCCATTTTTTCAGAGCCTGACTTCATTGGTAAGTTACCATTTTTTTCGTTCTTATCCAGAGGTGGGTCATCCAACTTAACTATCTCTTTCTTTTCTTCTTGTTCTGAAGATATTTTATCCTCACGGTTTTTTGCTCTCTGACTTTTCTGATGCTCTTCTGAGTGCCAATCTCGTATTTCACCTTGGCTTGAAGAGTTTTTCTGTTGTGACCGGTTCTTAATAAATCGCTCTGTTCTATCTCGAGAATAAGATCGAGATTTCCTGTTACTTTTGTCTGTTCTCTCTCTGGAACGAGATCGATTTTTACTATATTTGTCCATTCTATCTCTAGAATGAGATCGAGAATGAGATTTCCTGCTGTATTTATAGGCTCTATCTCTAGAACGAGATCGAGATTTTTTGTTGTACCTCTCTATTCGATCTCTTGAACGGGAACGAGACTTTCTGTAATATCTGTTGCTTCTGGTTCTGTCTCTTGACCAAGATCTTCTGTTGTGTCTATCAAATCTGTTTTTCTCCCTTGATCGAGAACCTGACCTCCTGTTGAATCTGTCCCGAGACCGAGATCTTCTCTCATACCTGACAGCCCGGTACCGGTTATCACGATAACCATGTCTACCATCTTCTCTTGATCTGGATCTCGAGTATCTATCTCTGAATTTCTTGGAGGCAGGATGATGCCGTTCCCGAGATCGAGACCTTGAACGTGAATACTGGTTTCTTTGACTACGGCTCTTGTTTTCTGAAAAACTAGATTTTGTTGCAGCAGTTTTTCTTTTTTTTACTTGTTCTTGGTCATCATGGTCTTCAGAATCTGATTGGTAACGTTTCTGATTCTTTGAGAGGTACTTTTTACTGTCTTCAAGTATTGCTTCTCGACTTGCAGTGGCTTTACTCGATGCAAAGTCCTTCTGTTTACTGCCCTTATTTTTTTGACTGCTGTTTGAGGAGGAGGAGGAAGAGGAAGATGTCGAGGAAACTGATGATGAGGATCGAGGTCTTGAACGTTTTACATGCTTTGATTCGTCTTCAGAATTATCATCTGAAGAAGTTGGCTCTGTCTTCTGATGTTTTCCTTCATACCTGCAAAAAAAAAAAAAAAAAAAAGCTGGATGTATGAAATATACAAAAATAGTTTTTCTAGTTAGATTTTGTTTTTAACAGTATAATATTTTTTAATTCACTGATACAGAAGAAGACTAAAACATTATCCAATAAGAAACTCTAAAATATCTAAGTTTATTTATGTAACCATATTGTAAAGACAAGTCTGGTCTATGCTTATATCAAATTTTAAAAAAAAAGAAAAAGAAAAAAAAGCATATGTCAGTAGACTTTTATTTCACTAATCAAAGATCCATTTTTGTACAGAGATATTTACATATCCAGTATCACAACATTAATTATATACTTTAAAACAATGTATATTTCAGCTGACTTACTTGGGGAGTATCTTTTTGACATCCTTCTCTAAATCAATTTTCTCTTTCTCTTCTGATGAAGCCTTCTCTTCTTTCACAGTAACTGAAGATACTTTTTCACTGCAAATAAAAAGAGTAAAGATTAATCATTTGTAATAAAGCAAATTAAGTGATTATTAATAGTCAATGTTACTATGTTTGATTTTAAACACTGAGAGTATAGAAAATACTGTGGTTATTCTTCAGAGTGATACAGTAATTACTACATTATTAAATATTATAATTATTCTGTTTGCTTTTAAATATTATGAAGAAAAACTCACAAATTAAAATATTAAGAAAGATTATAGGTGCATTTGATATCTCCCTGTGTGTGCAAATAACTGAAAGAGGTAGAGTGAAACACAAAGTATTTGCTTATGAAGCAACGTTAATTTAGTCTCTTCTTACTTCTGATTGACATAATTAAAGTTAAATCAAGATTAATTTTCTCTCTTAAAACCTGATTGTGTTACAATGCACAGAAAGAACATGGATACAAAACTTACCTTTCTTTTTCTTGTACATCTGAATCAGCTGTTTGCTGATGGTAAAGATATCTATAGAAACCACTCATATCTTTTTGCTTAGTTACATCCAGCAGAGCTAGAAAGAGATATTGGTTGAAATAAAAGCAATGACAAAGATGAATAGACAATGAAAATTCAAAAGATGCTGTATGTCAAGTTTTTTTTTTTTGTTTTTTTTTTAAGTATAACTTATTGAAAAACATTTGCCTTACAATTCAAAAAGTTAGACAAAGACTTCTAGCTAATATTTAATGAGTAGAAAAATCGGAATCAGCATGCACACACAGACACACAAACACAGAGGAAAAACAAAAAGAAAAAAAGGCAGATACCTATTAAGATTTCAAACTTAATGAAAACTGAGGGCATAGAACTATCAAGATATATGAATAAAAACAAGTCTCTCACAGAAGTGACTTATACCTTTCCTGTCACTCCAAATAATTTATTTCACAAATTGAATATAAACTTTATAATCATAGTAATAATAAAGATGATAATTAATAAAGATGATAATTAATAAAGATGATAATTAATAAAGATGATAATTAATAAAGATGATAATTAATAAAGATGATAATTAATAAGGATGATAATTAATAAGGATGATAATTAATAAGGATGATAATTAATAAGGATGATAATTAATAAGGATGATAATTAATAAGGATGATAATTAATAAGGATGATAATTAATAAGGATGATAATTAATAAGGATGATAAAAAAAAAAAATTATAATGGTTTTCAGATAAGTTCATGTTTTTTTAAATAAACAATTAAAATGGAAAAATATTTAAAATAGAATGGGTCACTTGAAATAGTAAGTTCTAATTGGAAAAAAGTGGGTGAAAGGGAGAGAAAGCAATTGCTATGTAATAAAAAGGAAGAACATTTACCTTCCATCTCTGCTTCTCTTTTCTCACGATCCTCCTCTTCCTGCATCTCCAACAATTTCTTTTTGTAGGCCGAGGTCACAAACTCTTCCTTCTCTTTGAACTCTTCTCCTTCTGCCTGACGTTCAAGTTGAATTTTCCGTTCCATTCGCTTTTCCTGTTCCTTCTTTCTCTGGTTGGCAGATTTTAGCAAACCCTCAATATATTTGGGCTATAAAACAGAATACCATGAGTGTCATTTGTACCTCAAAAGAAATTGACAACATGTCAGCATGTATGGCTTTTGCAATTATCCTGCAATTGATTAAACAAAAAAACAAAACAAAAAAAACAAAAAACAAAAAAAAAACACTAACACTTAAAGTTTATATTAGAAAAGATTCATACAAAATATTCCATACTATTTATAACAAAGTCTTATATATGAGAATTTTGCAACATAGAAAAAAAAAAAAAAAAAAGTAAAAACTACTTGCGTGTAAATTTGAATTTCAAACTACAACAGTGAAATTTCTAATTTTAGATGTAATATCAGAAATAAAGTAATTTATTAGCCAATTTGGCTTTATGATTTTAAAATTGGAACTAAATTTTCATTACCTATAATTATTTTTAAAATGAAGTAAATGACAATCTTTAAAATCATTTTAAGACTAAATCTTCACTGTATGAAGTGCATGAAAATTTCATTTAAGAAAACTTTTTAAAACATAAAATGTGAGAATTGATACATTACATTGAAATGAGCACTTTATACTAATGCACTGCTCTTACATCTTTAAATAGAATTAAAGAGTATATAAAAGGTTCACTTCTAAGCAAGTGTTTAATGCTGATGACACAAATATATTATCAGAGTAAATATAATAAAAATGTAGACTAGCTACATACCTTTTTGTCTGCCTGATTCTTCAAGCGAACATCAGTCTTTAACTTTTCGGTGTGGATCTCATCATAAATGTTGTCATATTCATACACATTTGGGTCATCATTTAAGGCTTTATCAATTTCAAGCTGAGTCTAGGAAAAAAGAGGATTGAAAATGTTATTTACGTTCAGGCTATGATCTTGATCTTTGTTATTACAACATTTTGGCTGTAGCACCCTATGGCCATCAATGTTATAGTGATCTGGGTAACCTACAGAGAATTCTGTAGGTATCTGCTAGGCCTAGCTCAAATGTTAAAATTTTCAAACACAAATTAAAAAGAACAAGCAATTTATAAAACTCAAAAACTGTTAGAACATCTTCCCAGGCTATCAAATTCAACATTCTTTTAGCACCATTTTAGCCAAAAAAGAATGCTATTTTTAGCTTTGCTCAATTATACTAGATTCAACATTATAAACAAAGTTCTTAAACTTTTAGTTTGTACATCCAAGCAATAAAAAAAAAAAAAAAAAAAAAAAAAAAAGCAGCAAAGCAAATTGTTTAGAAAGGGAGAGAACTTACTATTATAAGTTTTTTTTCACAAACGAAGTCTTGTAAGATCATCAATAAATATTACTGTTATTATATACTATTATACAATAACAGTAATATTTATTGATGATCTTATCATAAATTACAAGACATCACATCTTTATGATTAAAATAGTTATTAAATCTAATAAACAATATTGATATCATGAATAAAACTTGTTACCTGTTTTTTAACTTTGCTTTTAAGTGATTCCTTTTGCAATGATGCACTAACAGCAGCTTGACTATCCTCATCGCTGTCATCTCCAAAGATATTGGATTTCCCAGGAACAAATCCATTCTGTTTTTTGCAGATAAACAAACCATAGCTGGAAAGAGAAAAACTTGCAATTTATTTTGTTGTAAAACAAATGCATGGAAATAATCAAAGGTATTCATTTTTTGAAATCAGGCATATTGACACTAAACAAATAAGTCAATACTAAGCTACTCAACAATTATTTTATAACTTCTGTCCGAATTTATTCAATACCTCTCCAAACAATGAAAGAGCTATGCAGACACATCTTTATTGTGATATATTTGTTAAAATTGTTAATTGTTAGTGGATTCTTCATTAGCAATTGTTTCATTTTAATAATGTAGAATAGAAACTAAAGATGTCATTAAATCTAGTACTGAAACAAAGCTTCATTATTCATTACCTTCTCCAGACCCATGCCATGTGACCATCTCATTATTTGTTTCCAGTGAATCATGAAATCAATTATAGTGTGAATTAAGAGCATGTCTCTTATGGTTAAGCAAAAATACATGAAAATGGAAACTTGTAAAACACTGCAAATCTATTTAAATAACATCCTCTAGTCTAATTCTGCATTTTACTTTCTTTTATCCACTTTGGTCTCTCCACAGTAATAATCAAATATTGATAAATAGTTTTACATGCAAACTTTAATAAAGATTGACAAGATTTAGAAATTAATTATATACCAATCACAGCACACATAAACAAGTATATCTTTTAATACTTAACAATTCAAAAACGAAAAGAAGAGAAAAATACTAAATGTTAGATTGAACATTTCCTAGTAATCTGGGTAAGTAAAAATGCTTGTTATTACAGAGTAAACCAGCTTTAATGAAACCTTTAACTGTTACCGTTTACAGAAAACCTTAAAAATCTAGTAGGTTCTGGAGAACATTGATGACTATAATGAAAATAACATGAGAAGTTAAGTGATAGTGAAATCACAATTTTATGAAAGATAATTAAGCCAACCTAACAATTGCACATCATAAAGGATGCATTTGTTAAAGTTAATTGGTTTTTTCATAACATTTATAGAAATACCTAGTGTAATACCATAAAATGGTAAACATGAAATATTTTTAACTTGAACTTTAAGAAATACTGGTAAAATATGCAGTTTTACATAATTTTAGACCAAAAAAGTGTTTATACTAATTTGTCCATATTGACAGATCTGTCAACATAAAACTTCTTTATTGAAAAGAAAAAGAAAAAAACTTTCAAAAATAAAATATACTAATTAGCTAATCTTAATTTTTTTCTTAATTACACAGTAATCTTATTATAAAACCCAGGTTGTGTGTGTGTGTGTGTGTGTCTGTACGTTTATATATTGGATCGGATTTCTTACATTTTTCAACTGATTTCAACAAAACTTCGCAGGACTACGTAAAATTACCCTGCGGTGGTTCTGACAGTGCCAAAAATTGGAAAAACAATTATTTTTGCATGAAATCAATTTGAAAACACAATTAAGAGGCATCGCTTTCGCAGAATGAAAGGGGGACAACTCATATCGAGTTATACTTATTATAAAACCCAGGTTGTTTGTGTGTTTGTGTGTGTGTGTGTTCATTTATATATGGGATCGGATTTCCTACATTTTTCAACAGATTTCAACAAAACTTCACTTTTTTTTTTTGGCAGGTAGTGTTTTTATTGTCTTTTACAATTTTTTCTTTATTTTTACATTCAGAATGCTTCAAAAATTCCATTTACAAGACAATTGTTTATAATAAAATTCTATTCAATCAGTAGACTCATAACGATTGAAAACAATGTTTTTGTTTGAGTAATTCGGGGGGAAAAAAAAAAAAAAAAAAAAAAAAACTAATTACAACATGCGTGTCCGTCAACTTTAAACAATCTTTGTCAATTTTATTTTTCAGTCTTTATGATGGTCGATAATTGATCTATCTCTTACTGTTACAACGCTGGGCTCTACTGCTAGTCTTAAAAATTTAGGAAAATATACTATGTTTTATTGGATTTTAGATATTTTGGCTTTAAATTTACTATAGTTACCAATCTTATTTTCTGAGAATTATTTAAATTATTTACATTGTTCGGACTGTTGTCTTCATTGTTACTGCCATATTCACAATGATTCAGTCGTTATATACTCCAGCCTTCTTCAGGTTACTGGAATTTCAAACTGACCCTTTATTTCATCCACCAGACGAGATGATTCTAGTTCTATGTGCCATGCCTCTTCCAGAGGCTCCCACTTACCTCCCTTTAACTCAACCAAGTTTTTGTTCACCACTGTAGTAGCTTTGGTATTGAACTCACAACTCTTTGGGTCAAGTCACTGGACCTAACCAACACTTTTATCCACTGGGCCTTGAGGACATCAGAGTATGAAATTTTGGGACTTATAAACTTAATATCTCAGTATCCTTTCTTTTTTTTTAACCAGAGATCATATTGCAATTTTGTTGATATTGCTTTTCTCTAGCACTCCATATTACTGGTTCTCCTATATATTTCTATGCTTGGGTGGTTTAGATTTTTTGTATTCATTTCTATGCTTGGGCGGTTTAGATTTTTGTGACCTAGCATATGCGCTGATTCCTTAAGTCTTCATATTTTCCAGTGATGGAGGTGGTGATCTCCCTTTTCCCTCCATACATGGTCAGCTATGCCTGATTTTTTTTTTTTTTATTATTTCCTCTTGTGTCACAGCTTTCAATGTTCTTGCAATCTTACCCTAAGGGGGGGGGGATGTTTCTCCTTTATATATTTCTTACCACGGCTGCACAAGATGGCATACACACAGTTCTTAGTCATGTCTTTTGGGAAGGGGGTCTTACTTGGAAGAGGTGTCTGCAAAATGTCAAATCACTTTTGAAGGTCGTCCTGATGTTATATGGATCTTTTGTATTTTTTCCAATAATCCCCTCAAATTGGGTAGGCAGACTGAAGCTGTTTTCTGAGTGTTGTTATCCTGCATCCTTCTATCCCAGTTTGTTGAAGTTGCTGCCATGTATCCAGGGTAGTTGTTACATTGTAGGGTACTGCTTATACTGACCATTTCTTGTTCATATGTCTCTGGGCTGCCACATGACTTGCTAGATGTTGCAAGCAACTGACGATCCCATTCTTTGTACTATGGGTGGTGAGAGTTGAAGTATTGTCTGGTGAATGATGGCTTGCAGTATACGGATGTCTTGAACCCACACTCTGTCCAAGATATTAGCACATCCAGGAATGCGAGCTTGTAGCTTTCTCTCTCCATCATGAACTGTATCAAGGATCTTATTGAGTTCACATGGTCCAGTAGTAGCTGGCTCTCTTCCTGGTGTGACCAGAAGGTGTCATCTATGTACCTCAGTTATAAGGTTGGCTTTAATGATATGGATTCTAATGCCATTTCTTCAAATTGTTTCATGTATATGTTTGCCATGGCTGGTGATAATGGTGAGCCCGTTGCTAAGCCTTCATCCTGTTGACATATGTCTGATCCCATTCTGAAATGAAAGTCAGCATCTCCATCAGATTATCAATTCATATACTGGTTCGTTCTCCTAGGGATGAGTCCAAAGCTAGTTTATCCCTGACTACCGAGACGGCCTCCACCGTGGGTACCTTGCTGAACAAACTCACCACATCAAGGCTCACCATCTGGGTGGATTGGATGGGAATATCTTTGATTATTTCCACATATGAAGGGGACTTTTCTATTAATGGGTCAATTATATCTACAAGGAAGCGACTCAGAGGGTGGCACACAAAGACTTAGCAGCTAACAATTAGCCTAAGTGAAATACAGTCTTTGTGAATTTTGTGAGATAGATTAGTGTAATGCTGCAACAACTACCTGTATATGTTAGGTAGGAAGTGGTCTTTGTTCTTGATTAGGATCTGCAATATTTTTCACTTTGTTTTCATTGTTGGAGCTTTCTTTACTATAGCTACCATTTCTAACAAGGTTTTCCACTTTTCCTGTATATTCCAATTTGTCCATCACTACAGTCACATTGGTAGTATGATGTCTTCATCCTTCTGTAAGGTTCTGATTGCCAACCTCTCCAGTTTTGTGATGTTTGATTTGGGCGGTTTGGCTTTCTCCAGTATCTGTCTCACTTTCCATTAGCTCATCCACTGAGGGATGTTCAAGGCTATTTCCTCAATTCAGGCAATGATGTCCAAGTATGGTATCTGCCTGATGGTTGTGGTGAAGAGACCCTTGTTTAGTACCGACTCCTCAGAGGCACTCAGCTGGTATTGACTGATGTTGATTACTGCCTTCACTTGGGAGGAATGGACTGTGTGATTTTTTTTGATAATGTTGTGTATGAACATCTACAAAAATCGGCACATTTATACACATACAAAAACAATTCAAAATTATTTTTAAAATACCTCATATTGTAATAAGCTTTTCAATTTATGATTAGTAAAAGTTTTACTTAATAACAATATCCTCTAAATTTACACCATTGAAACTTAATTTAAAAAAAATTTAAACTTTATAAATTATTCTAATTAGAGAAAAAAAAAAAAAAATCATTCATTGAAAAATAATTTTTTTTTCAAGCCAATAGTGTCCTTAATAAAACTTATTCGTAAAAGCAATTAAAAGGTTCTCTAATTAAATAATGTCTTAGTTTTATTATGGTTTTTATTTTAGGATTCAGAGTATATTTTCAGTAAGATGGGGGATGGGAGTGATTTTACAAGAAAAAAAATTAAAATTTTTTAAGTTCTGCTTTTAGCTAATATAGTAGGTACCTCCACAAAAATAGCGATACCTAATGTTCAAATTAATTCATAAGAATGAAAAAGTTTCTTGAAGCTTTCATTTTAGCTTTAATTGAAAGTTAAAATGATTAAATTTACTATTTTCAATAAGTAAAATACTTTGGAGTATTTCAAACAGAAATTATATTGACTGGAATCAATTTTTTTTTTTTTTTAAGTAACATCAAAGTCATCAATTTTTGAGACATTTGTAAGCACAAGTTCTTGATTTCAAAAATCTTGCAAAAAATAAAATATATTTTTCTGAAACTTTAAGGAATATTAGCCAATTTAAAGTATACTTAATCTGATTTGAAACAAATATTATTTAAGTTCAAAATATCAAGAAATTAATTTTTAAACCAAGAGTAGCCATGTTTATGGGTTTGACAAGGTGATGACTGATTGTTATTCTATGGAGACTTCATCTGTAAATCATTATTTAAGAAAATGACGTTAGCACTTTGTTATATCATTTAAAATTCCAACTTTAAGTTAAATATAGTTATCGCTCTTATTTTCTGATATTTCTCAAAATTTCCTAAAATTAAGTGGGGTAACAGCTGTTATAAAAAAGAAAGTTTTTACCAAGTTTTTCTAAAAAGAAAAATATCTTTAAAAAAAAATTTCATTCATTTGTGAATAAGTCCTGAAAATAATGAAAATCTGACAATTGCAAGAATTTCCAAAACAATGCTTTTTTTTGCCGGGGAAAAAAAAAAAAAAAAGAAAAAGAAAAGAAAGACACTAAATTTCCCCACAGTAATCTTTGACTTTGGCCGACTGCTGATTAAAAAAAAAAAATAAATTAAAACCAAAGTTTTGAATGTGCTAGAAGGGAGTAAAAGAAAATTAATAAAAAAATACTTTAGCCTTTCCTCTTCTTGATCATTAAAAAAACATTTTAACAATAAAACTGTTTTTCATCAAGTTTTTCGCCACACTATACACTTTTTTAGCGAAAAAAGTGATGTTACCTAAAAGGAGATACCTCCACTTGCTTGCTGAAAAAAAAAAAAAAAAAAAAAAAACAGAAAAAAGTCCCAAACTTAATAAAAACAAAGTTTTATTGTCAAAATGTTTATTATTAAGAGAGAGAGAGAGAGAAAAAGAAAAAATATTCGCAAAATTTTTTTTAATCCTTTCTCGCATGTTCAAAATTTTGGTTAAATTTTTTTTCTTTTTTTACATTAATGATCGACATAATATTTACATTTAGTGTTTTTGCACTTTTTTTTCTCCAGTGAAATTGATTTGGAAATCCTTAAAAAAAAATAAAAAAATAAAAAAAAATAAAAAAAATAAAAACAAATAATTGTCAGATTTATGAATTAAATTATGTTTGAATTTTTTTTTTTTTTATTTCAGAAAATTAGAAAATCTTCATGTTTTTTTTTTTCATGTTACCATTCCATCTCCACTACTTAATTTCATGAAATTTTGAGAAATTAAATATGCTGTCCAAAATTTTTTTTATTAGTTAAAAACAGGATGTCTTAGACAATGTAAATCATCCAATTTCTTTTTTCAAACTACTGCTGTTTTTCCAAAAATTTAAGAAATTATGTAATAATGTAATAAAATTATGACATTGTTTAATTAGAAAATTTTTTAATTGCTTTTATAAATAAAACATTTTTTGATGAATAAATGTTTTCATTTTTTTAAATTTTAATTTATAATAATTTAAAAATCATTTAAAATTCTGCATTACTTCCTTTCTTTTAGGTGATATTGTATTTAAGTGGAAACTATATTTACAAATCAAAAATTGAAAAGCTTTATACAAGTCGTTTTGCACAAAGATTTTTAATAATTTTTTTAGTTTAAACATTTCCATTTTTTGCATGTATGGTAGTCTATACTGACATTATTATTAAAAGGCGATGTATTGTAAGAGTTGTTCTCCCTTTACAGAGAAATTCGCTTGTCTGCAATTCGTTATTCATTGCATGGTTACATCTCAACAGGATTTGCACATCAGCCCATTAAAGTTTAAAAAATTTAAAGTAATTTTCATTTTTTTAAATTTCTATTTCACTAAATATTTTATGTATTTTAGTGTGAGCCATACTTCAATTGAGTAATTTTTTTTTAAAATTCATTTTTTTTTTTTTTTTAAGAAGATGTTTTTGTAAGTAGTTTTTACTTTTTTATATTTTATTATTTTTTTAGAAAGCATCTTCAAAACATAAGGCTATAACACTATAGTAACTAAAAGTCAATAAAATATTAGATAATTGCTGAAAATATGTTAATTTATAAAAATTACTAGGTAGTTAAAAACAAAAAAAACAATGAATTCACTTAGATTTCTTGAATTTATGTCAATTCTGGTCATCCATACTTAACTGTCAACACTAGCCTGTCAATAAAATCAATCAACGTTAGAAAAACAGAACCCGTGGTTAAGAAATGCTAGTATACTACATTTATGCCATAAGTAAGTAATATTTGTTTCAAATCAGATTAATTTAACTTTAAATTTGCTAATTTTCCTTAAATAAGGTGTCACAAATATATATTTCATTTTTGGAAGATTTTTAAAATAGATAATTAAATTTTGTTTACAAATGTGAGAAAATGGACGCCTGTAATCGATTTTGTGAAAGTAAGCAAAAAATTGACATTCAAATCTATATAATTTCTATTTGAAATGCACCAGAGTATTTTACTTACTGGAAATAGTAAAACTCACTGAAAATTATCTTATTGAATTTCTGAAGTTTCCATAAAATAAGTAGTAACACATGTATAAAAAAAATTTCTAAAATAATTTCATTCATTTTTGAAAAAATCCTGAAAGTTTCATTAAAATCCGAAAATTTGATTTTATCATCATAAAGTGCTCTTTTTCTGCAATAGAGGTAATTAATTTACAGGTGAAGGTAGGTCAGAAAGGTTTTGAACATTTCGTCAGCGAATTAAAATTAAAAATAAACTATCGTAATTTACGACTTAAATAAGTCACAACTGCTCATTACTTGACAAATTAAATTTCAGCACAGGTCCACTAAGTTGTAAATCGAACTTCTAACTAGGTCGTTAGTTATTTTGCTCAAATTATGTTATGGGAGGCACGGTAAGTTACATAACATTTCTGACCCACTTTTACACCTATGGACATAGAAATCGGTCAAACAAAAAATTAACAAAAACTCCTCTCTAACTTTCGTCTGTTAACGAACGTGGATGTATCATTTTTTTTAACGTAGATATCTACGTTGTGTAAATAAATTTAAACTACATAATTTCACTATTTTAGATAATTTTTTTTTTTAATCAAAAAAAAAAAGGGGAAAACACTTTACGCGTCATGAATGAATACTTTATTTAGAAGTTAATAATTCATTCGAAATAAAATGTGTATAGTTTTTGTGGTGAAAGCTATATGCATTTTATTGGCGTACGTGTATGATCCTAACAATAGCGCACAAAAAATGCAACTTTCTTTACTTGTTACTACTATTCAATCTCTCTCTCCACTAAACTGTCAATTTCATATGCATTAACAAAAACAAACAAACAAACCCTGTTATTTAAACAGAATTTAATAAAGGAGAAAATATGGAGAAAAACAAACAAAAAACGAAAACAAACAAGTTTAAATTTTCATTACTCCTAGAATAATTAACGTCGCATTACTCTTATTTTTAAAATGCTTTTTCCACTCCTGGTCGCGTTTACAGATCTTAAAAGAAAAAAAAAAGTGTTTTTTTTTTTCTGGGTTTTCTTTTTTTTTTGTGGGAGAGAGATTTTTTTAGTGTACTTTTCTAATAAAAATTGGCACTTAAAGGCAAAAAAAAGATTGTTCTAATTTTTCTAAGTTATTTTACTACAGAGTTACACTACTTTTTTTACTACACGTAGGCTTAGAAAGACGAAAGCTGAAGATTGCAGTAATCATCAACACATTTGGAAAGAAGCACAAGAACTTGTTGATATTGTATTACAGGGGAGAAAGGTAAATATCCCAAATAAATACTTGTAAAAAAATACTCTCACCCGCAGAATAATGTCAACACAAACACTTGTGCTTGCAACAGTAGCCGTTATGACGCCATAAATAACAGTCAGTAACACTATCATTTTAAAAACAAAGATTGGAATGAGGAACTTGATTAACAAATCACTTTCCTTAATCAAATATTAAATTACTCAATCCTCTCTTTGATGAATAAACAAACAAAAACTTAGAAAATAGAGTTTACCTTTTTTAAGTAGGTATCATTTTACAAGTTATAAGAGTAAAATAACAAATGTCACTGAACAAATATAAACAGTATCTACAAATTACTTTGAAATACATTAAATTATTTTTGTGGTCTTTAATAATTTATTGTTCTTAGTTGTTGACTCAAAAATATGCCGTTCCACTTTGACTTAAACGACAAGCAACATTATTGGGACATTTTTTTTCTTTAGCAACACAAATATTATTAATCAAATAACCCAACTCTTAACAGAGTTATATTTGATTACGAATTTTTGTTGTGTTCATAGGCAGTTACTCTATTACAAAAATGTTCCTTTCTATTTAAGATTTCGTGACGTTACGTTTTTACTTTTACGATACAGGTGTGAGAATTTATTTGAAACTTTCAGTTTAACCTCTCAATCAAGGAGTAATTTTTGACTTGAAATAAACAAACAATATTATTATTATTAGACTTCCGCCTTAAATCATTAAAAGTGCATTATATATTATTGTCAACCTACGATAATAAGTCTAACAATACTAAAGAAAAACTAAACTAAACAAGAACTTCGAAAATGACTTACCGCTTCTTTGGATCCGCCATGTTGGTTTATCGGGCCGAATAAATAGAGCAACCTGATTGATTAAAAAAAAATTACCCGGATGGTTGTTCTTAGGGCGATTTTAAATAAAAGTATTATAAAATTTTATGAAAATATTAAAAATATAGATCTTTTTTTTTTTACTGTGAAAGATTTGGTACTTACAATTTGCTGATGTCTATTTTTTAAAATCTGCCCTTTTAAAATTCACTGTTGACTGTCCCATCAATCTTGATTAAGTAAGTGGGTCCCTCCCATCTTTTTTTTTTTTTTTTATATACTACCTCTTAAATCTTATTTTCGTGACTGCTACTGATTTCATTTAGGTTGGAGACGAGGCAAACAAACTCCGAGCCCAAGGTTTTGTCTCCAGTACCTTCTCCTTCTTTGTGCTATATGTCACCTCAAGAAGTCGGCGATCATAGCTCTCGACAATTTCCTGATCTTCGTAGCTCTTCTTAAGTCTTAATAAATTTTGTCTTTTTATTATTTCTCTTAATTCTTGTTCCACCATCCATTTTTTCACTCAAGCTCATTCAGTATGTTATCATTGTTATGCATTGTTTTCCTATCTCTTGCCTTTAATCTGTTCTGTGAATATTAAATTTTCTAAGCACTCTTTCCTCATTATGTACCCTAGAAATTTCAACGGTCTCTTCCTGAGTGAAGTATAACTTTTCCTTTTTGTTTCTATTTTCTCTAAAACTTTGTCAATGCTCACGTTTGGTTCATGGTATCCACATTTCTATTGCTTCAAGTCTCTTCATCTTTGAGGGGATTGTCCCACGTTTACTGCCATTTAGGACAGATATCATGTAACAGTTCAATACTGTTTTCTTTGTAACAAAGTTTTTCGATTTCTTAATACTCTGCTTACCTTTTGGAAGGTATCCTTGGTTATCCCAATGCGCTTTCAGATTTCAGTGTCACACTTTCCCAGATATTTAAATTTTTGTACCTGTTTGATTTTGGTAGTACCACAATAATGAAATATATTATCACAAACCCAACAAAAATTAAAACTGCCTTTAATGATAAAACCTGGATTTTTTTTTACTGATAATTCACCCAATACAAGGTCCAAGAGCCACTCAAGGTAGAGGGTTACTGGGTGAGATTGTAAGAAAGAGGGAAGAAGGAAGTAAGAGCGTATTATGAGGATGAATAAAATATGTATTGGTTGACTTTAGATTTAAAGAAACCAAGATTTTAGTTGTTGGAGAAAATGTAATCATATAGTTCTTATTTCCCTCCATTATTTTAAATACTATTGTATACTGTTTTCATAATTATTTTGGTATATGATTCTAACTTTATTTTTATATACAAACTCACATTTTTTTTTTTTTTTAATTGTAGTAATTTACATAAAAACAAGAAAAATATACAGCATTGACCAAGGGCTGAGTCACTCAGTCTGATGGCTACTTATGATGAAAATAATTTAAAAAGCTTAATGCTAATTCTTCCTGAAATGTAGTTCTTTCAGAAAATACATTTATTTTCTTTGTAAGATAGATACACAATTCAGTTCTTTTGTTTTCTGCAGCCTGCTCTTTTCTTGTTTCGTGACCTTAACACTTTGGTGAACTTGATATTATTCTTTTATTTCCTGCATCTTGTCTATTGCATGTCTAGTGACATCAGCATCGAGATGAGCCTGATGCTGCTAGTGTTTCCTGAAACTTTCTCTTTGCTTGCCTAAAAGCCCAAAATCTGGGACAAGTATGGTGCTGTTATTTTTTTCCATACATTACCTTCTGTGGTGAACAGCCCCCTGTTAAAGCAAGCGAGCCAGAGTGGCTTGCATCTGGTGTATAGGAAAATAAGGGTCTTACCTTAACATGCAGCACGTGACATCAGCAAGTTTGCTTCATGAAAATGGCATTACTCTCCCATCCAGCCATTCTAGCAATATGTGCAATGATGAGGGGTTTTTGTACAGTTTGGCATGCTTCCACCAATAGCAAATCGTGTGCTGATTGGTTGAACTGGAGGATGCAATTTGCCTGTGTAACCGAGAATAACAGCGAAGAACGCTGATTGGCTGGGGAACCGCGGTGTTGGCCTGATAAAAGAGTGCTAGAGCCGTGAAAAAGGGAACAGAAACATTGGCTATATGTAGTGACGTGTGAAGAAAGTGAGGACAGTGAATTGAACCAGTGATATTGTGATTTGTACATGTGACGTTGCAGCAATACAGACTTATTTAAGCTACACCTTCTATATGCTTGTCTTAAGGACTGAGAACAGAGGCAAACTTTGAGCTGCTTTTATACTTCTCACTGCCAAGTATGTCTGTCTGGAGGTTTCAGTGTTAATATGATATTGATGCTCCTGAATTACCTTCGTTTCTTATTGAATCCTGCAGGCTTTTGAAGAGCTTTGGCCAATATTGCTTTGTTTATTATGTCTGAGTTGCAAGTCAAAGTTTTTTTAATACTGATATACAGCAGTGATACTATTGGACTTTAACTATTGAATGTTACTGAAGCATAAAATTGAAGCCTCAAATACAGATGAAGTTGCTACATGTATTATAAATTTAGAATATTTTTAGTATTGTTTGAATGGCTAGATTCAAGTATAAAGAGATCTCTAGATTTTTCTAAATATCTTGAACTCAGTAGCATGAATTGCTATAATAAATTAGTATGGAGAGATCTCTAGAATCCTTTAGAACATGAGTTAAGTAATTCCTGTCTGCAGGCCAGATGTGACTTTTTATGACATTTCGTTGGGCCTACCAAGCATGTGGAATTTACAATTAGTATTAAATAATCAGTCTGGCAATGACCTTCAGATAACATTTTCATTAATACTGGCCCACCGTGCCAAGCTGAAGTCAGGATAGCAATAAAAACAAAGAATGAAAATCATTTTCCTATAAGCAGAGCTTCCATGGTGCACACTGATCTCCAATAGTGTAGCTAGATGGGGGTAGTTTGTCCCAGGTGAGACTTTTAGGGGGGGCAGCACTTTTGTGTTTGCTGTATAAACCTGTATTGAAATAAAAGTGGTTTTAATGTTGAGACGTTATTCACAATTGAAGGACCTTTTCAATTTCAAGTAAATTAAACTATGGCATATGTATTTAAATGATTATCATCTTGTCTAAACAATAAACATTATCCAGTGATATATTCAGGGCTGTTTTATTATTGTTGACAATGTGAAAGCTGTGAACGAACCCAGCATGCATTCTTTTAATGCCACAGCACCAGTCTGTTGGAGACACATCTTGGTTGTTATCATATAAATTTCAATTATTATCCTTGACAGAAGTTTGAGGGTATATTTTGCTCTACTTTTCATCTTTTGGGCCTGATCCTTCTGGCCAGATGAATTTTTGTGCCAGGTTAAGATGTTTTTTGGTGATTTGGTTGATTGTTTTGGTTGTGCTTTGACCTGCTTATATCAACCAACCTGGTTTTACTTTTTCAGCTGAACTTGTTTTTCCAAATTGTATTTCAGCTTATTTCATGAGGGAGTCACTGTGCAAAATACTGGCTTTTTATAGGAGGAGCAGTGGCAACCTCCAGGGCTGCCATGGGCAGCACACACTCTAGCTACATCACTGCTGATCTCTTTGCTAATATATGAAAGCAATGCTCTCTGAAAGGATTTAAGCAACATATTCAAGTTTCAAAAGGGTTACCTCAGTAATTGTAACAATTTGCAAGCCATAATATGTCTTTCCATTCCTAACCATGTCTTCTGTGGAGTCTTTCTCAGAGGGATCAGTAGTGTCATGGCTTTATTGTAACATTCATAAACTAAAGTAGAAAGTGAAGGCTGTATGGATTAGGTATCACTAAACAGTGCATTGGTGGAATTTTCCATATGGAAGATGTTAAAGGCATACAAAGTAAAAGTCAAAATTGTTGCCATCATAGGAAAATTGTATAAAAACTTTGAATGCAATGTCATCCTGGAGAACATTCTTGACGGAGTCATTCCCATCAAGTCTGAAGTAAGGTAGAAGTGCATTATTTCCCCAGTTGTTTTTATATAAACATGAGACCCTTGCTCAGCTTTCCACTGACCAGCCAGTAATTCCCCTACATTGCATCTCAATCCCAATGATGTGCACCAAAAATTAGAAAATACCGGCTGCATATTTATTTACAAGGAAACAATAAGTGTCAAGAAGTCAGAACTTGAACCATGTTTCCAATATATTTAGTTGTTTTATTCAGGGGTTTGCTTGCTTGGACTGGGCGAGTAGCTAGGTAACACTTGGGACAACTTTTGCCATGTCAGTCTAAAAGATTAGCACTTCCCTCCTACCAAACATGAACCTCTCTCGATGTGTGACAATAATACAAATGGGTGACAATTAAACTTCCTGAGAGGCACTGTCCCTTGCCAAGAGCAGAGCAGAACTGACTTCCCTGATCCCAACTTTGATTGTTAATATAGACCAACAATCGGAAAATCACTATGTCCGATTTTATTGTCGCTTCACCTCAAAAGACCTCTTCCATTCCCATTTGGTCAAGTTGATGCTACTTAGAAGATCTAACTCCAAAAAACCCTATTCACTGGCTATAAAACAGACACACTTAAAATGAAGATAAAATCAGTTTCCTTTTCTTCATAGGTGTCCCAATCATAGTGTCACATTTAATCACAATTGACTGGGTGATGCATAAAAACAACTGTAGACAATTCCTATGGAATCCAATGAATCTTACTTACTGGGAAGTTTTCAACTTTGCTAATGATCTGGCAATGTCAACTCGTATCCCTCTCCAAGAAAAATTTGACTAACTAAACAATTATGCAAAGTAAACTAGTCTGCATATCAACCAGAAAATAATCCTAGTAATGTGTATCAATGCTTTAACAGTATCACTAATCAGCATCAATTGAGTGGCATTGGAATATATTAATGGTTTCTCATACATTGGAAGTTTTATAAGCAGTGACAACAGCTCCCCAAAATATGTTTGCAAACAAACATATAAGTCATGAGGATGTCTAAAGTTGTCTTGAGAGG